TTTTATTTCCAGGTTCGTCTAATATTCTTAGGAGGATAACTGCACACTTCCCTCCACAATTGGCGTTCGTGGAGAGTTATCGCTATTACACAGACAGTCATGCTTACTCGGCGTCCTTACTTTACGACACATTCCTTACTCGTAGAGTTCTACAGATTAAATAGTTCACAACATTGTGAAATTTAGCACGCAGTTTCTTCACTGTCTATTTATTACACATTGTTGGGGATTACACAATCTCGTTGTTACATCGCCCTCTAGCGTTCAAACTCTTTCGCTGTTCAGACTACAAAAACTGTAATTAACATCGTAAAGCTCATCTTGATAATTAATATTGCTGTATCTTTACCGGAAGGTCAACTTTCGTAACGTAATAATACTTATATACAGACAACGAATATCTTTACGGACAGCGCAACTAATGCTTTTAGACACAAAGTGGCTGTGATAAGAAAATAAATTATCCCAGAAAGATACTGGAACTAATAAATGCTGGAGCTTTACTTCTGAGTACAATGGACGACCGATTTGTAATTCATACCAGATACTTGTTTTCCATCGGGCCTTCACTAGTACGCTTATAATTTGTGTGAGTTTGTTTTTCATTGACAATACTATACACCAGCAACAACATGCAGACAATGGCCTTGGAATGTGCACGCCACTCCACAGTACCATTACAGCTTACCTTCAAAACACAGAACAGATACATCATTGTTTTGCACTGCTCGATGTCTATCAAGCTTAAGAAAAACAAAAACCAACCACAAGTTCATAGCAATAAGATTCTGGAATTATATTCAGAAGCAAATTACATATCAAAATGAGTGAAATGTTTTGTACGTGGACGAAAGATCAAACTGTGCTCACAACAAATATATTAATAAAATGAACCGTTGAGGTTCATTCAATCAAATTAAAACACAAAAGGCCACAACCTTCGTGTTTGTTCGTCTTCATATACAGTGCCTGAGGATGGACTACATATTCACGGTTAATTCTACGAGTACATTAACTGTTGCTTCTACTGCGCAAGTCCACTTCATTAGTTGCACGTTTCAGCATCAACCTTATCCTAATTTTGTTACATACACACACACACACAAAAAAGTTTTTCTTGACTCAATTATTTTAAACAAACACATCCACTAATATATTTAGCGTGCTTTTCAACATGTTTTCTTATATTAGTAGCTTCAGCATTTGATGAAATAAATCGAAATAAATGACTTTTAATTAAATATTCTTATTCATGACAACATAAAAGTGAATTTACACAACAATAAATCACATATAACAAACAGTTGTATTTTTCTTTTTCGTTCATGTTTTGTTGAAAAATACAAACTAATTCTCAATATCCATGAAATCAAAACAAGGTTATTTACCACTTTTTTAAACCTAGATCAGTGCATTTACGATCGCCAGTGAAATATGGTGTTTATATAGCGATATACCTGAAAAATATAAACACTATATGTGCAAGTATTTTTCAGAGAGTCTGTCGTCGACAATCACATAAAAAAACGAGTTTATGCACCATTTCTTATGACGGCTCCACCGGTGCTTAGCGGCAAATCAGTGGGCTTATAACGCTAAAAATCAGGTTTCGATAACCGCAGTGGGTAGAGCAAAGACAGTCCAATGTATAGCTTTGTGGTTTACAAGAAACTTATGTCGGCAAGTTATAAAACATTCGCTGCCATCTTAAACATAAGCTAGCTCGATATGAAAAAACAAGTTTTTTGTCTAGCTTTCGATTTTCATTCATTGATTTTTTTCTGCTAAAATCTTTGGTATTAATTGTCTGTTATGCGGATACTGTCAAATTCGAAACTAAGTAACTGTAGAGTGATGTACAATGGTGTTTCTAAGCACTGGTGTTAAAACTATAAGTGGTTCTTCTGATAAAAATTTTAAATAAAACCAAACCAAACAAAATTAAGTTATTTTATCACCCTCAATAACAAATAAAAAGCATCTTTGGATAAAGGCAAAATTGTTAGCATCATCGTCTCTGAGCAGGTTAACAAGAGTCAACAGTACATCACCTGTCCCTCGGTAGAATGCCTTTATGTCTTGGTTTGCTTGTTTCATGTTGATTATTAGGAAATAATAGAGCATAATCAGCATATTGTTACAAATGACCCCCCCCCCCTTCTAACAGTATGTGTCATAAAACAAACTGTTTGCGATGTGGTATAAAATATTTTAGAAATGTAATATATATATATATATATACATTTATATGCCATATGTTATTGGTAAACAAGGTATGGAAGTTGACGAGTTAAGTCACTTGATAAAGCATTTGAAATAAAGAAATAAGCCTGAAAATCCACAACTAGATCACAAATAGCAAACTACACATATATGTTAACATAAAACAGTAGTGAAGGAAGAAGTGACGTTCTGAAACTTTCTGAGATCGGACAAAAACTTGGTTTTGCAGATTCAAGTAATTTATCCCACATAAGAGAAAACAACTACATATGTATCAATATACTTTTTGTCAAAAATCAACTCAGACAAAAAAAGTGTGAAAAAAAGCATTTTGCTTGAAAATTATCGTGTTTTACATGTTTACACAACTAGATGCTGGCTACTTATACTTTTTGTGTATAAAATAAAATATTTTATATATAGATACCAAGCATATGAGAAACAGCATCGTAATTTCAAAGAGTTAGTCAGGTCTGGAAATAAGTGACGATGAGAACTTGTCCATTCCTAAGGGAATAATGGGGAAAACGAATATATGGAAGACATTATAACTGGTTATATGTCTCCAAAATTGTGACTTCGTAGAATAATAGGAAATAAGATTAAATGATACGAACATTATTTTACGTGTAAAACATAGGCGTAATTTTCATGGGGGACAGGTACCCACGCTTTAAATTTTTTTTTATAGATTACCCTCACTGATATCCTACTTACAGAAACTGTTTCCCCCCTGCATTTGAAAACAAAGTTACACCACTGAGTGTTAGGGTGTAAAAAAAACTGTGATAATCACTGTGGAGCCATGGTTCAAATTAAACTTTTGATACTTGGTTTAGAATTTCTCTTTTCTAACAGTGTAAAAATAAAACACATTATAATTACAGCAATGGTAGTAATGCCATTTTAGATTAACACTAATAGAATAACTTAAATTCAGAAATTTGGAATTATTCGATAATCTTGTAACTTACACAGATGTAAAAACTTGTGGAAAAAACAAACTTGATTTATATGCTATATCAATTCCCAGTCGTTTACTGGACAACATTCAGTAGCATCAGAGAAAAACTGCATCTTTTATGAAAATGTTTGTAGTCGATAAGCTAAGTCTTCAAATTTATTAAATTATTTATTACATGGTAAGAAATGAAATACAAACACTTAAACTTTCATTTTCAAGTTTGTAAAATATACTATAAAAATACTAGAACAACACACTTTGAAAAGGAAGAGTCGTGTTTTGCTGCTGGGACACATTTCAATAGAACGCTGGCTCACGTTCGCGTTAATCACAGGTCAACCCTATTTCTATCACTTGCCATCAACTGTTGGTTCACATCTGGTGGTATGAACCGCCACTCCTCTTGAAAAATAGCTACATATATACTAAGATTTCGAGACTTGTCTTTCAAAGTGACGTTGCGAAAGATTCTGGACCAGATAAGTTGAATTCAAAACGTTTTTAAATGATCAAGGTTAATTGTGGACATTTTTGGTCTCAAGTTATTGTTGGATAAGGCCTACTGCACTAAGGCATGGTGTACCATTACTTTGGAATAATTGTAGTCCTTTTTCAACATAATTCCATCAATGCAGGTAGTGCAACGTTCTTCTGATGTAACAAAACGACATTACTTATATGGTTTCCATAATTATTACCTATTGATTAAGTCCAGAAGAACTAAAACACTATAGTACTCCCCGCCATTCTATAGGGTACCGACAACACAGGCTTATCCAAAGCGTTATCATTCAACATGGCCTCGTTCCTCCAAAGCAAACAATAAATCTCCGAATTCATAGCTCCAAATGATGGATTTTAACATTAGTCAAATTTCGATTCGCAATGCAACCGGGGCATATTTAAAATTGTAGTTTCCGCCTATAGATTAAAAGAAACAAGAAAACAGGTTCCGAATTTCAGTTCTAGAGAGATATGGAGGAAACCAAGTCATGCTTGTCGTATATATATTATATAATGAAATCCTATTGTTTTACTAAAGACGTTTCTGACCGCCCCTAGTTATATTTCAGTCCCCTTCGGGTATTGAAATGTATATCCTAAATTTCCACCAATGATATAATAGAATTTACTAAAGGATCTCATTACAGGATTTCGGATTTAGTTAAGATTTGAAACACTTCATCATACCAAGCTTACTTGAGCAGCTGTCGAATAAAGTTATTTTGTACTCATATGTATAAAACAAAGACATAGTGTATTTTACATATTACTACATATTCCTCTTTGCTTCTACTCGTAAGTTCTTTGAATTGAAAAGGTGTAAGAACAGCCTCAGATACCATAAAAGTACACTATCTTAAGTACACCTAAACCTCCCAGTATGGCTTCGGAACTCATTTCCCTTTTATTTTAAAAGTAACACCTACTCCTCTTTACAGATTTATGTTTATGCCCCTGTACACATATACAAACCGACACTGAAGTGTTAGTAAACTAGCTTATACGTCAATAGGAACCTATTTAACCTTCACGATGATCATTTTTTTATTTTATGAAAATCACTGCGTAATTTGAATTACTTATATTAATTAATGGTTTATTTTTAAATTGTAGTTGTGTAGAGTGTTTAACAATATAAGAAACTGCCACTACGCACCAAAACGATCGAACTAGGCCATTACTACGATGCCAGTCAGTGCAAAGGAGACGGTGAACTATAAACCAGGTAACGGGAACGAGACAAAGGAAGTCACTGTCAGTGTTTAGTTTTTGAAGGGCAAGTCGATTAGACCTTAATCCTAGAACTTACCTGTCTGTACTGGGGGATCGGTCTAATCGTGGTCGGCGCTCCCCAAACACTTTGACCCCGGACTGTTGACCCTCTGATCTCAGTGGTAAGGTGCTTTTTAACATATTAAATCCCTCGGACAAACCCAAATTTCCTTGAACTTTCTCACTGACATCATTTAGGCGCACGAAACAGTTAGTAAACTCTCCTTCAAATTTACCAATATAAAGTTTTGAATTATCCCCGTAGGAATACCGTTGTTTTAACAAACCGTTCTTGCGGGACATTCCAAAAACATGGAAACTGCCTTCACTGCCGGTCTTAACCTTCCTTTCCACGCCGCTTGTCTCCTCCAAGCACCCACAGGCCGCCATCTTGCACGCGCACGCATTCACACTCACTCTCACACGGGCACGTCACTGCATCTGTAGGCAAGGCCATGACGTCATAATATAAACACCCAGTTCAAACATACGCGATGGCACGTGACTGGTCGGAAAAAAGAAAATAAGTTTGAATTGGACTTGTTTATCTTGTAGAACTAGTACGTAAACTTTGCCCTAGTTTTCTTATGTTTTGGTCATCCCATGGTCATATGAAAACTCCTTATCTCAAAACTATAGACGAAGTTCGAGAAAGGTTCTAATTTCCAATCTAGTCTTACAGAAGCATGGTTTTGAAATAATGGTTTACATTTAATACGGAAATGAGAAATATATTTTCCTATTACTATAAAAACAAGTGAAGGTTTAGAAATAATGCAACTTCGTATAATTCGAAGCTTTAATTTATACTACACATTCGACTTAAGGGGGGGGAGGTCTATGGCCTATTGTCACTGAACTCGGACCCACAAAAACTATGTACTATTCAGCTATACAATACTGCCCCTCCGCTTCAGAGAGAGAGGCTTAGAGCCTGAGAAAATAAATATCATTCTTACCAAAGCAGCTTTTAGAAACACTAGGGGTTCTCACTTCCGCTGTAGCACCGGAAACTCATGAACTCCAGCACTAATCTTGAGTATGCCTACAACCAGTTGGTTGTCCTTTCCTACAAGATTATGCATACTGACTTGCTTGACAAAAACAGATGCACTACAGCAACAGTTACAAACATATTTGATCAAACGTTTACAGCTGTTGCCTTGGTGCGTCTATATTTAATTAAACTCGCTTTTGTTATCGATAACTCTTTTAAGTGTTTTAAACCTTAAGTGTTGAATTTCCGAGAGGCTCTGCATATTTCATCTTTTAACTTTTATACACACAAATATTTTTTGATCAAGTATCAATTAATTTTGTAGCTCTGAAAATTCTTGTGTAAATGTATTGGCTTATTTTGAATTGTTACCGATCATTCCCTAGATGATTGTACAAAATCTAGCTTTTGTGGAAGGTTGCTATATTATAATATAAAAAACGCCATAACACTTTGTTGATAACTATCATCGTTAGACCGTAATAGGTCTACCTAAGATACAATAATGCCAGCATATGAAACCAGTTAGAAATTACAACTGACACACCAGCTGCAATGATATGTGGACGGATAGACACGAGTGAATAACGAGTAGTTTATGGAACAATCGATAACCGTTTTTTAAGTGCTTACAAAAGCACTTTTCCTAATGATACGCTACGCAAGTAAAGCTGCATTTTAGCCCATATTATAAGAGATGATTGCAGCACTTTTTGCCAAATATCACATAGTTTTCTTGTTATACAAATGACGTTAAAAATACGCCTTGGCGAGGAATAAAAAAATATAGCTAATTATATGTAATTTTGTTTTCTGAGTAAACCAAAATTTTGGCATGAAATTATTATTTGATTCTTTGTTGTTGTTGATTTAGCGAAAATAATTAAAAATTAAACAAAAAATACATTAAATAACTATTAGAATGCTCCTTTTTTAAATTCACACAAGATTTTTATCGGTTGTACATAGTAAAACTTTGTTTATTTTACTCACAACGTTTCGCCAGGTTAAGTAGCATCAACAGTTCTTGTATCCCACCTTATGATGTCAGGTAAACGTGGTGAAACGTAAACAAAATGTTTTACTATGTACAAATGATAAAAATCTTGTGTGAATTTTTAAAAAATTCAAAAAAAGTACTCATCACCGAAAAACGATGTTTCGTTCTGGAGCGTCACTTCCTGAGTTTTGAAAACATAGGAAGGAAAACCTTAATGAACTCATTGTTACACATTTACCTCTGCAATTATTCGTATTTTTTTTTAATTCAAATGTTTTGCTGCATGTATACATGCATGGGTTTCATTTAGATATTTTTTGCTAACCCTGTATTTGTCAGATTTAAAAATAAAACAGATTTCTCTAGAACTTTACCCAACTTCCGTTCATTTAGTGTTTAACAAGCTGTTTGATTTCGGCAATAAATTTAGAAGGAAAAAAACGACCTCTACTGTCAAGTTAATAATATAAAAAACTTTATTTCTGCCAGCGTTTCACCATTACGACTTTGTCAGGACGAAACCTTAGCAAAAGTAATTTTTTTTATTATCTTAAGTCTAAAACTCGTTTTTTTCTAGCTTTATTGCCAAAATGTCTAAATCCCTCCACTATGCACTACAAAATCCGAAGAGCAAACATGTTCAACAACATTAACCAAAATGCTCTCAATAATACTAAATCCCATACAATATATTTTCACCTATATAGCTGCACCAACACACACTTATGACATATATATTTGGTACCAAAATATCATGTTTTAATACACGTGTATCAACTATAACATTTAAATGACATATATTATCGAGTGTATTGAAAAGAAAATAGTACACACAAGTTATCCTAGTGATCTCCAGTCACCTCGTTTCATATGTATATTAGGTGGAGTGTTCTTGCGCGCACCAAACAATCGGAACCTTTTAAAAGAATTATACAATAAGAGAGAGAGTAGTAATAGCTTCTGACCAAATACTCAGCGCTCAGTCTGTCAATGTTAATATATCGTATAGAAAGATTATATTCTTATTGGATTCGTCATAACACGACTTCTATTTATAAAAACGAAAACATGACCCATGTGTTTCAGTATTCTGGTTCAGTCGATACGGTTTCCCAGCTTCTTGCTCTCTACCTGGCGCATAACAAAAACAAGCAAACAAACAAAAACGAATTGCAATTCACGCAGACTCCTGCTTTGGAGGAAAGTAAGTTTCTCTACCCTCCGGGAATCGAACCTGCCAGTTGAGCTAGAAAAACACTATTTCTTTTTTTTTTTAACACTTCAAACCACGTGATTACCACATGCTCCTCCACCACCCTCTCACCAACAAAACCAATTGTCGGGCCTAATCTCAGAAGGAAGTTTTTCTATATATTTCTAATAGTTAACATGCCCCTGGCTATCATACATTTAAAACCCATGAAGAAGTCATTTCACGCATTTTCATGAGAAACCAAATCCAGTGGTTTTCAATTTCTCTCCAATAATATAGCAAAAAAGTTCTTATATATTTAAAAAGTTGGTAACAACTTATGTATTGTAGTTGCATATCAAATATTTATGTTCGCTTGCATATTATAGAAACATATATTCTATGAACACTCTCAAAAGTTAACAAACAAGAAACACGATAACCTTATAAGTTGATCGCTTAGTGCTAAGACTTTATGGGTTTTTTTTTAATTTAGTACCAAACCCGGTGCGCACGGAAATAGTTAGAAACTGCTTTCAAGCGCAAAGCTACACAATGAGCTATTTGCACTCTATCAATACAGGAATCTAGCCTCGGATTTTAGCGGTGCAAGTCCACAAACTTAACGCTGATCCAATAGGGAATCGTATTTAACTCACTGTTGAATAGCAGAATTTCATAAAAATGGTGATTCACCAATAAAATGTTGTGTTTTACCCACGAGTACACAAGTATTTAAACTTCGATATTTCATGCCAAACAATTTTCGTGCATAGAAAGTTTCACCACAAAAAAATTATAAATATGTCAAAAAGTATTCAATTTTAGTTCGATTTACAAACGATTTGTGCGATATACCACAAAATATTTCCGCCTTTTAAACTGGACGTGCGTTATAAGAGTGACAATCGATCCCTTAGCATGGATGATGGGTAGTAAGGTGCTGCTTAACTGGCTGTCTTTCCTCTGGTCAGTTGTTCAAAATTAGAGATGGCGGCAAATAGCCTTAATAGCTTTACCACGAATACAAATCAAACAATTTTTTTACTAAACTTTATCGAAATGAAATGTGTTGATTTTATTCAATCGAGTTTATTTTATGCTTTTTTTGTTTTAAGTTATGCACAAAGCTAAACAATGAGCTATCTGTGCTCTGCCCACCATGGGTATCGAAACCCGGTTTCTAGCGTTGTAAGTCCGCAGACACTGGATCTTATTGTATGCAGAAATAGTGAAAATTTATAAGCATACTGAACAACTGTTAAAACTCTGTTTTGAAATACTGTTGATAAAGTGCTGTCTCTTTAGAAATTACTATACTTAAAAAATGAAATATAATAATTATTGAAGTAATTTCCCTATGTTAATTCACACCGTTCTGGAACAATTAAACAGCGAGTTCACATAGTTCTGAAACAATTTAACACCAATTTCACACACTTCTGGAACAAAACAACAGTGAATTCACACAACTCTGGAACAAATAAACAGATTGCTCACACAGTTATGGAACAAATTGGCACAGAGTTCATAGAAAAGAACAGCAATAATAACAAAAACAAAAATGTTTCAGATTCGTTACAGTCTTCAAGAAGCTTAAACACAATCACATTTCATCTTGAACTTAATTTTTAAATAACGTTTTTGTTTTTTGTTTGCAGAATCATTAATGGTAAATTACATTCATTTTAGCATAAAAATTCGTTTATGATATACTCATACACTTACCATGCTTTAACCGTTAAATTTAGGCACTACTTAGTGTAGTAAGTCCTGTTATTATTATTATTTTTGTACTAGATCGTATTATGCCGTCTTCAAGGTCACGTGAACTTATAGAAACTCAATCGCCTACCATTACTATACATACATGAAAATTTTGTATTTCTCTTCAGGGAATGCCGCCTAACTGGTCGCGAAACATGTATCACACCTGTTGAAAAAACAAAAATAACGATAGTTCATAAAATACATATACATTATTAAGTAATCAATGATCGTCAAACAATAAACGCCTTGATATTTGTTTCTCAAGTCATCAGAAAGGACAAGATTAACAGTTTAAAAAATGGCTTTTATTAAACTTTCTTGGAACTATACAATTATTATTTTAAACAAAAAATACTCATCAATTTTTTATAAATTGTGTTACATGAACTGTATTTATCGTTTTTTTCTTGCTCCAACAAAGGT